CAAGTTTTCTCGTTTTTTCTTCCGTTTTTTCTTCCATTTTTTCTTCCGTTTTTTCTTCTTCGTTCACTGCCCAGCACGTCCTTGTATAAAGTATAACATATTGAATATATAATATACCCGATATAACATAGACTAAACCTTATGAGATATAAAATTTATCTGATGTAAATCCTTAACGGTATATATCCAATAGATTTTTAATTTTGAATCACCATCAGTATATATCGACATACATAAATCTTGAGATATAATATATATCCTTATCTAAACACTATATATCACCACATATATAATATATATCCTTATCTAAACACTATATATCACCACACATACGTTACTCATAACAAACGAATAAAGAAAAATATACTCGTATATACCAATGTAATACCAAAAGTCCTATGTAAACTTGAGATATATTATATATCCTAATACATTTTCCATGGAAATTGTTTCACCGTTGTATATGGAAATATTTTAATCTAGATATATATTATATATCCTAATTAGTATGTATCCTAATTAGTATGACTATATTATATATATTGAAATATACACTATTATAAAGGATAATCACAGATAGAAAGAGATAATGGGAACCAAAGAGTAGCAGATTTTGTCAAAAAAAGAAACCTAAATTGAGCATATACAATAAGAAATATATACCTCGATTCTGTACAAAATTGAAACGATGTTGCCCTATAAATGCGACGGAGGCCGCCGGAGATGAGAAATTTGGGTACGTAGTCGGTGACGAAGAAGTAGCCAGTGACAATAAAAAAGGAAGATGTTGCCCTATAAATGCGACAGAGACGTAGCCGGTGACGATGTTGCCATATAAATGCGACGGAGGACTCCGGAGTAATCTTCTGAAAGAATGGAGATTGGAAGCTTGAAGATGAGAAGTTTTCTGAAGCAACCGTCGGAGATGCGAACCTTGGGTTTCAGTTGAAGCGGTGAGGAGGGGGATGAAGTGGTTACGAAAAATGAGTTTCTAAAAATAGTGGGTTACCAAATTCGTGGGTTGTAAAAATCTCAATTAGCTTAATTTTAGGGATTTTGGTATATTTTAATAAATATTAACCAATTTCATATTTTATTAATGATTTAATATTGAGATGGATATATTAGTAATTTCTATTATGGGTACCATCTATTTTGGAAATTATGTTAGACATTTTTTAACTTTCAATCCTTTTATGTAATTAGGTCTCTTAAATAGACCATCTATGTACTAATCCCTTTTTTTTCACATCTAGGTTTAATTCCTTTTAAACCCGATAACCCAACCCAACCTAATCCAAAAATATAAGGGTTGGGTTGGGTTGGGTTGCCTACATGATTTAGTCTATTGGGTTAAATAACTGCCCAACCCGAAAAATCGGATTGGTCCAAAAAATCCCTCTAACCTGACCCAACCCAATCTGCATACATCCCAATTGAAATTGACAAAGAGACCCATAGTCTTAACTATAAACATTAAATAGTGCCTTCGATAGTCAAACCAAGTTTCTATTGCCTTTTCATTGATTAATTTTTTTAATTATTTCACTGTCTTTTGTTTTAGCATCTTCACTCATCCACTTTCATGCCCTATTATGTAGCTGAGCCCAAGAAAAAGGGAGGAGACCACGAACACAATCACAACACATTTCGGGAGTGTCTTTGCTTTTATATTTTCATCGTCAATGGCAATGCTGATTTTAAGATTGGAGTATGGCATGTTGCTTTTTGTTGTTTTCATGAAATTTTTTAGGATTTAGTTGCATTCACCCCTTGGTTTATTTATTTTCCTTAGAAATTTAAAAAAAAATTGATTTTAAGAAAATTAAAAAATATTTAAAATTGATTTGGAAGGTAGCAGTTGGATGGTGACTCTTAGGTTAGTAATTGACGGAGAATCCAATATTAGCTGAGGATGCGATTTTGGGTTTGGGAGATATTGATTGTAGGCGGTGAAATTTGGGGATTTTAATTGCACAGGGCAAAATTTTGTATTTGAAGATTGCTTAGTGGGTGATGATCATTAGTCCATAAAATTGCAGTGGGTAGCTAAATTTTTATACATATTTATAAAAATGTCATCTTTTGTATTTTGCAAATATGACAAAATATTTGAATTTTTATTTTCGAAATTTTTATTATTCCAGTTTTACCCCTATGATATTTGATATACAGCCGATGTATATCTGATATACAGCCGATGTATATCTGATATACGCCCGATGGATGTATATCTGGTATACGCCCGATGGATGTATATCTGATATGTGTCTGATAGATATTTGATATACTTCCGATATATCTCTAATATACTTCCGATCTATATCTGATTTACATCCGATGTACTTATGATGTACATCCGATGTAGGTATTATACATCTAATATACATCTGATGTACCTCTAATCTATGATATACTAAATATATTTGTAACTGATATACATCTGATGTATCTCTAATGTACATTTTATGTATATCAGTGGTATACTAAATATATTTGTAACTTCTATACTAAATATAAGGTATATCAAATGTTTAATTTTCAGTGGTATATCAGTTGTTTAAATTGTAGTTTATCACTACAATTTGTTGATTGATATACTAATATTATCAATAATTTGTGATTGTTGTATCCACTATCTAATCTATATTAATATTAATTATATACTAAATACAAGGGATCTCGGTTGTTTAAGTTTATAAAGTATATCAGATTTTTAACTTTTTTTTTACGTTCGTGGTCCATATCAATCTTTTATGCAATAATTTTAGATTTGATCTTTTTTGTTTACACCATTGTTTTCATTTGGAAAAAATTAATAGATATATTAGATTTATATCAACACATAGATAGCATAGTTATATCAGTAGATATCATGGTTATATCAATGGTAAATTAGAGGTATATTAAGTATATATCACAGATGCATTTAATATAATCAATGTTATATTAGTGATAAATCATATAATCATATAATAAATTATATTAGTAGATATAATAGTTATATCAGTGGTAAATTAAAGATATACTAAGTATATATCACAGATATATAAGTGTTATATTAGCATGGTAAATCAATAGTAAATTATATAATTATATAAGAATTTATATTAGTAGAAATCATAGTTATATCATACGTATATCAGTGGTAAACCATATTAGAAGTTATATGGATAGATATCATAGTTATATCAGAAGTAAATCAATTGTATATCAGTATTATATCAGTGGTATATCAATACATATAAATTATATATCACACGTATATCCGTGGTAAATCAATAAATAGGTAAATGATATAATCATATAAGAAGTTATATTAGTGGATATCATAGTTATATCAGTAATATATCAGTTGTATATCAATAGTAAATCAGAGGTATATCAAGTATATATCAGTGATACGAGGGTAAATTTGGCATTTTATTATTGGACCTCCGTTTTTTCTAAAAATTTTGCTATATTTGAAAATCTAAAATGTAGATGTTAAATTTGTTATTTCCTTAAATTTTTTTTGCCATATTTGTAACTGCCTTTTTTTTTATTAGAATCGTTTATTTATTTATTTTTTTAGTGCATGTGAGGGTGGGGGATCGAACTCACACAATCTGTTGGTCTCACTTTGACAAAATTTTAAACCGTTAAATAATTATTTAATTAAATAAAATTTCAAATTTAATGTATTTTTAAGTTGTCATTTTTAAAATCAATTTTCAAAATTACTTTTATTTATATGAAAATCACTACAAACCAACACATAAAATAAATTGAATTTAAATCACTTTGCAAAATCGATAGTGAATAAATATTTTTTCTACAATCACTCATTGTACAATCATTCCCGATATTCCTAGTTCTAGTTTCTAGTTGCCTAGCTAGATGGAGAGTGAAGGAGGTCCTACTACCTTTAACCAAAGCTCCCTTACTTTCCATCTATCTAGTTTGGCGGCTAGAACAATATTAGAAACGAATTCTCATTCTAGTGCATTTAGATTGAGGATGGAAGAGCACTTACTAGTCTTATCAAACAATTCGAGCCCCCAACCTTTCATCTAATTAAACAGCTAGAACAAGACAAGGAACAAGATTTGTAGTACTAAAATAGACATTTAAAAGTGTTGGGATAATGGAGACAAAACAGATGACCCGTGTCCTACGAGGAAAATGATTTTCAAACACTACTACCAATTCCTACAAGGAGTAGGATATTATTGTCTTATAAGAATTACAATATTGTTTTCCTATAAGGATTGAGATATTTGACCTCTTATAAATAGAACCCTTTTGTTAAGGTTTCATTTGTACAGAGTCCAAATAAGATAAACTTGAGTGGTTGTGGGCAGTGTGTGAAAAAAGGAGTTTGTATCCCGTGGGTTTTAGTGAGGGTATTTTCAATTGTGTAATAATAAATAGTCATTGTTAAGGTACTTAGAAGCAAGATAGTAATATCTTGAGTGAGATCTCCATTGTAATATTCCCAACTATAGTTGAACCTGCAAAATTTTTGCAGAAGACTGGACATAGTCCCAAGATAGGGGCGAACTAGTATAATCCCCGTGGTGTTAAGCTTTTCTATCCCTATCTCTTATTCCTTTGTTATTGTTACTTACTTATCTGCTGTCTTTTGTTATTGTTACTTACTTATCTGCTGTTAGCCTGTGGAAGGGGGAAAATCAAATAGTTCCTATTTGAAGAATTTACAGGAGGATCGATTGATCTATATCTTTTTTTTCCAAGCAAAAAGTTCAAATACCAAAATAATATAAACTTAAAAATTATAGGGCTAAAATGGCTATCCATACCTCCTTGTGCTGTGGAGGGAGAAGAGCGGACAAGGATGGACAGAGACACGAGGGTAGAGTTGTAATTATCATGCTAAATACGCAAATATTGTAGTCAACAAAACCCAAAAGATTCCCACTCACTACCCAGTGATAAAGACTCTATATTTTATTTGACAAAAAAGTGAAGAAAAAAAAACGAATTTTTGTGATAATACAAACACAATTCCAAAAGTAGAATCGAGAATGAATGGTTGGAAGTGGATATTGGGAGTAGAAGAGGCGACACCAGAATGGAGAGTCCTCTGTTGGATGACAGTGAGACGGTGGACGGAGCAGTTGATTACAGTGGCCGGCCAGCCCACAGATCCAGTTCCGGCGGCTGGAGATCCGCCTCATTCATCATAGGTAAATCAAATCAGAACCCACAACACAATTTCTTGCTTTAATTCGCACTCTCATTATCATTATCATTATCATTAGGAGTGGAGGTTGTGGAGAGATTTGCCTACTACGGAGTCAGCTCCAACTTGATTAACTTCTTGACGGACCAGCTCCGGCAGTCGACGGCCACCGCAGCGGAGAATGTCAACGCCTTGTCCGGTGCAGCCTCGCTGCTCCCTCTTCTGGGGGCCCTTGTCGCCGACTCCTTCCTCGGCCGATATCCCACCATCCTTCTTTCCTCTGCCCTCTACATCTTGGTTGCTCTTTCTCCTCTCCTCTCTTCCCAAAATATGCTTCAACTGACCCTCTTTAACCCTTTTTCTTCTTCGAATTCAGGCTCTTGGGCTGCTCACTGTGTCTGCAACATTTCCTTCTCCCACCATCTCTGCTTCCCTACACACTGAACAAGCTTCCCCCAGTGCAGCCCAACAAATTTTATTTTTCTCCTCCTTGTATCTGATGGCAGTTGCTCAAGGTGGACACAGGCCTTGCGTCCAGGCTTTCGGAGCCGATCAATTTGATGCCCAACATCCACAAGAAACCCAGGCCAAAAGCTCTTTCTTCAATTGGTGGTACTTTTGCATCTCCCTGGCCACTTTTGTAACTGTTAACATCTTGAACTATGTGCAAGACAACCTTAGTTGGGTTCTTGGGTTTGGAATTCCTTGTATTGCCATGCTTTTTGCGTTGCTGGTTTTCTTGCTTGGAACTAGGACGTACAGGTACAGCAACAGAGGAGCCGAGGAAAACCCATTTGTAAGGATTGGACGGGTGTTTATCACAGCACTGAGAAATTGGCATCTGAGTCCTTCAGAGATGGCTCATGAACAGGAAACCCCTGTCCTTTTGGCTCACCGTACTTCTCAACAATTCAGGTAAATCATACGACAAAACAAGGCTAAAATGTGCGTCTCTTTACACCTATTATTGGTTTTGGATTCTCTAATGTGGCAGGTTTCTGGACAAAGCTTTAGTTGTTCCTCATGGTTCAAAGGAAGACAGTCTCGTATGTAGTGTCAGTGAAATTGAGGAAGCGAAAGCAGTACTTAGGCTTGGTCCCATATGGGTTACATGCTTAGCATATGCTCTTGTGTTCTCTCAGGCATTCACTTTCTTTACAAAACAAGGAGTCACAATGGACAGATCAGTAGTTCCGGGATTTGAAGTACCGGCTGCATCACTTCAATCCTTCATCGGTCTGTCTGTTGTCATTTTCCTCCCGATATACGATCGAATACTCGTCCCAATCGCAAGAACTCTCACTGGGGAACCTTCTGGAATCACAATGCTACAGAGAATTGGAATTGGGATGCTATTATCTGCCCTCGCCATGGTCATTGCTGCGTCGGTCGAGATAAAAAGGATCAACACAGCTCAAGAATATGGACTGGTTGATCTGCCGACGGCGACGGTTCCTTTAAGTGTTTGGTGGTTGGTTCCTCAGTATGCGCTGATTGGAGTTGCAGATGGTTTCACCATGGTTGGGTTGCAGGAGTTTTTCTACGACCAGGTTCCGAGTGGGCTAAGAAGCATCGGTCTGTCCCTGTACCTGAGTATTTTTGGGGTTGGCAACTTTCTAAGCAGCTTCCTCATCTCTTGCATTGATAAGTTAACCAGTGGTGATGGCAAAGAAAGTTGGTTTGACAATAATCTCAATAAAGCTCATCTTGATTACTTCTATTGGTTGCTTGCTGGGCTTAGTGCCGTCGGATTGGCTGCTTTCCTATGTGCTGCAAGAACTTACATCTACAAGGGGAGTACCACTTGAATTCCACTACCTTGGAGCAAAGCTTTGGGATTGTAAATGCATTGTTGTGTATTAAAATGGATCGGTTTCAAACTTCGTCTCATCTCTGGAATTTGGCGTTTACTTTGACTACAGATTTCCAAGACTGTTATTTGTTTATAGGACTTGGTCATATTCTCAGAGCCGGTTCGACATCTAATATTAGGTAAGAAAGATAGTTATATATAGTTAACAGTTGAATAATTTAGTTATAAAAATTCAAAGGAAGATACAACAGAAGTGAGATCTACGTGGGAGGAATTATAAGGAAACAAGGGAATCAAACCTTATAAATATTCCTTTACATGTGAGGGGCTGAGTTAGAAGAACAAAATTTAAAGTAAAATAAAAGGAAACATAGAAATTTCAACACCATTGGTATCAATATTATTATTTCATAAACCTAGAGGTCCTGGAACATGATATTTCTTTAAAAATTCTTTATATAAAAGATCATGCCAATTCGATAGGAGGGAAATGGATATTTTCTTTTAAAATATATATATATAATAAGGAAATCAGAATTTTATGTTTGAGAAAAAGACTAGAACTCCTTAACATTTCAGAGTTAATTACTGATAATTTGCGTAAATAGCACAAAAAAGAAGCATTATATATATATATATATCTAGCCTTTTCAATAATCTTTTGCCCATTTAAACCAATATATCACGTAAAAAATGAGAGCCAAGACACAATTTCATTGCAAATATAAAAAGCAGTTCTAAATGACCCCTAAGACATTTAGAGTGTGTTTGGGCAAAATCACTTTTGCCATTGTCAAAATCGCTTCTTTTCCATTGATCTTTGACAAATTAAAAAATTGATTTTAAGTTAAAATCACTTTAAATTGATTTTTAAAGTGTTAGTATACTCAATTCTCTTTTTTCAAAATTCATTCATTTTAGTATCATCACTTCCAAACACACCCTTAGAATTCGGAGTGTCCTCCATTAGAAAAGTTCGGACCATTCCACTCGGTTATCCACAGTTTAGTTAATGAGAAAATAGGGAGCTGTTGAGACAAGAGAGGAGAAATAAATTTTATGGCTGTTTGGTACAAATGCTACAATGTAAGATTTATGTGGCAGTGAATAGTGATACTTGTTCAGCTGCTATAAACATGCGATTTGGAAACAAATAGGAAGGCAACGAACGCCACAACACTCAGCCCAGACAACAGCAAATAAAAGTAATCAAGATGCGCCTTGTTCAGATTGTCTGAGAACCAACTATTGTGTCCATTGCCCCCACTTGCTTCATCAATAACAGAAACCAGCACACTGCTTAAAATGCTTCCCATGCCAAGGACGCTAGTATAAAGGGCAAGCCCCATACTTTTCAAATCTGCAGGACATTGATTATAGAAGAACTCTTGAAGGCCGACCACCGTAAAAACGTCTGCCAAACCGTACAAGCTGTATTGAGGAACCAGCCACCAGAAGCTCATTGGAATTGTTATGTCAGGACTGTCGACTACACCATGTTCTTCTGCACTCCTTAATCTTTTTCTCTCTACCATAGTTGCCACCACCATTGAAATGGCGGATATGACCAATCCAGTTCCGATTCGCTGTAGCGGTGTGATGCCGGACTGTATTCCCGTAAAAGCTCTTGCTACGGGAACAAATACGAGATCATAAACTGAGATGAAGATGACAATCGAAAGAGGAACCAACGATTCGAGTGCAGCAGCAGGAATGATAAAGCCTGAAAAGATTGATCTATTCATTGTAGCTCCTTGCTTGGTGAAGAAGGTGGTATCTTGTGCAAACACAATGGCAAACACAAGGATCGTAATCCATATTGGAAGAATCCTAAGAACTGCCTTTGCTTCTTCAACTTCGCTTATGCTGCACGCCATTCCACATTGGCTGGAATGATTAGGGACAGCGCAAGCTTTGTTGAGAAATCTGCCACATTGAAGAGAACCAACAATAATTAACAATGTAATGTGGTTGAATTCTATCCAACTGTAATAAGTTATCAAATCCTGACAAACAATTGCAATTCGCATTGTGAACCCATTAGTTGAGTAGCTGAAAATCTTCATAACTCTTAAAGTATTGAAGCCATTAATTTAGTCCTTTCATTTGGGGCAAGGATTTTGTGTATTCTTACCTGAACTGTCCAGCATTCTGGTGTGACAAGACTCTTCCACCGTCTTCCTCATCAAAGAATACTGTTGGAGAAGCTCTCCAATTTCTAATTGCAGACACAAATACCCGACCAATTCTCACAAATGGGCTCTTACCATACTCTTTGACGCTATAACGATATGTATTTGTCCCAAATAGAAAGACAACCAATGCAATCACCATTGCAAGACAAGGAATTCCAAATCCCAGACTCCAACTAACATTTTCCTCTGTATAAGTTACCACCAACATGGCTACAAAGGTACCAGCGCACAGACCAAAAAACCACCAATTGAAGAAGGAGCTTTTGGATTTGACCTCTTCCGGGTGTCGGCCATCGAACTGATCCGCTCCAAAAGCCTGTACGCAAGGCTTGTGCCCACCTTGCCCTATTCCTATTAGATACAGAGAGACGAAGAACAAGATAATCTGAAGCTTGTTGTGGGAGACGGAGGAGTTTGTTGTGGGAAGCAGGGCAGAGAAGGAGAGCAGGCCTAGTCCCTGTAAGTAATTTTCAACAGCATCAGAGATTTGACTCGTGCTTCAATCTGTGATTGAAATGTAGGGAAATAGAGATAGAGACCAAGACGTAGATTGCAGAAGAGAGAAGAATGGTACGATATGGGCCGAAGAAGGAATCGGCGACGAAGGCTCCGAGCAGAGTGAGGAGCATGGAGGTGCCGGACCAGACGTTAAGGCTCTCGGCCGCCGTGGCCACAGACAGACCGAGCGGGCCAGTCAAGTAAGTAATGAGGTTGGAGCCGATTCCATAGTAAGCAAATCTCTCGGCGACCTCCACTCCTAAACGGATTCACAATTTGGATATTTAAACAAAACATATGGAAGTTGGAGAGTGTAGGGTGTACAGTGTACATACACTACCTATGATGAAAGAGGCGGACCTCCAGCCACCGGAGGAGGATCGGAGGACTGGCTGACCTTTGAAGTCGACGGCGCCGTCCACGGTGTCGCTCAGCAGCGGAGTTCGCCGGTTCGGAGCGTCTGTAAGGTCCATTTTCGATAGGAAGGAGGTTCGCTGCAATGTTAGCAGCAAAATAAGAAACACTGTAACTTGAAGAAACGGAATTCGATTTGGATCGCTGTGGCGCTGGGGCATGATTGAGATTCGGATTGGGTTCCCAGTCGTGTACGCAATCAATGCTGTAAGATAAAAGTCATGTTCCGCCGCAGTTCCAAATTCAAATTCAACACAAGTGATTGTTTGATTGATTTATTCTTGAGTATAACAACTCATGTGGTCCAACAACCAACAAGTTAGAGGTATGCTTTATATAGGGTTTTTGGGTTGGATGGCCAAAAGGCCCACATGAAATATGTCCCATCTCCCCAGTTTTATGTTTTGTAAACATTAGTTGACATCACTATCTATTCTAAATTACTCCATATCCCTCCACTATCCGAGCACGAATTCAAAAACCCAAAAAAATGGTTTTCTCTCAAGTTTTTTCATTTGAAAATTCATTTGTCCTATCCTCTCTCCTCTTGCATCATCATCTCCTCGCCCTATTTGGTCGGTGCGATGTCGAATGCTGACGTGTTAAATTTCAAATAAATCGTTTTACGGTTTTGGTTTCAGATTAAGTTCTTTGTTTATGTATCTTTGGCAGTATAGCGTGATGAACGACGACGAGATCATAGGAAGCTGTACGAAGAGCAGACAACTAGTGAAGACGAAGACGAAGAGGAGAACAAGAAATAGAATGAGAGCCAGAGCGAGAGAGACCTATAACAAGACTGAGAACGAGACTAAGACATAGAACGAGAGCGAGAGTGAGAGAGCCCTCTAACGAGACCAAGAATGAGACTAAGATATAAAACGAGAGCGAGAGCGAGACCTATAACGAGACCGAAAACGAGACTAAGAGCTAGAACTATAACGAGATATGTATTTCCTATAGATATGGACTTCCAAATTACGGGAGAGGTGTAATTTATTTCCCTTTTGTTCTTTACTATTAAGGGTTTAGGGTATAGGGTTTAGAGTTTCTCAACCAAGATCAACATAGGATTCCGATTGAATTAATGAAACAGTTAGAATTAAATCCATTGTAACGTGCTAGGGCAACAAAATGAAATACATTGAGGAAACGGAATGGACAAAGTACATAAAATAACAAAATTCTAGATGGAAAAGGAAACATAAAACCTATAGCTACGGCGACAATTCCCTCAGATCGCGCAAACGGGCCTCCAGTGCTGCCACCCTATCTTGGAGTTGTTTGTTCTTTTCCTCCAACCTGTTTGCCCCTGCATGGTATTTGCTTGCCATTATTTCGAATGTACGACATGTACATTCTAAGTCGATGTACATATTCCTTGTTTTTCGATGGTTTCTTTTCTCCTCTTGCAACTCGACCCACTTGTCTTCGAATGTTTGATCTGGATCTGCTATGGGTACTCTCAATCCACTGCTACCCTCACACATTTTTTTCTCTATCTTTCTCGCAAACAGTAGAAATGATAAAACCGAATGCAGATGTATGTGGTATATATAAGATGAAGCGTCACTTAATATACATTGAATTCGGTTGGTAAGCATTAATTGGGTGTAATTGCGTGGAACGTCTTCCTAGCGCATTTAATCGGTTCTACACTGAAGTAGTTGCGGGGACGTGTATAGAGAAGAGCGAGAACTAGAGCGAGAGTCAGAGTGAGAGAAGTGAGAACGAGAGCGAGAGAACAAACCTGTTGGCGTGAGTGACGAGGGCGAGGGTGAGAGCGAGAACAAGAGCATGTGAGAGGGCAAGAGCGATGGTGAGAGCGAGAGCGAGAGTAGAATCAGTTAATTTCTTGTTTTCTTTTTCTCTCTTCAAATATACTATTTATATTTGTTTTAGAATTCGTATTATGATGATCTGGAAAGTGCAAGAGATAGAACGAGAGTGCGGACGAGATCGAGAGCGTGAGCCAACATGTTTGGATGTTCAATGCAATAATGATTGTAAAGTTTGAAATCGCATTGATTATTGTGTTGTTAGGTGAACATTAACTGCTACATTTATTTATCATTGCGTGCATGGGGAAGGTAAACAGGAATTCTGGGTGAGAGCGAGAGCAGGAAGTATAATTTTATGGTTTTTTTCCTTTTCCAATATTATACTTTTGATATTTATTTTGCAAGTTTGGTACGATGATGATTAAAATGGTGGAAAGTGTGAAGGTAACGAGATCATGATCAGATGTTAATGGAAGGAACATAATATATTTATATTTAAGGAGATTACATAAGAAGAAATCGAGGCTTTAGACATCTATTCAACTAATCTTTTGAGGCGTGCCTCCAACTCTACGGTTTTTGCAGCAAGTTGTCTGTTCTCAGTCTCGCATTGGGTAACAAGGGTTTGTTCATCGTAAATCCATTTTTCCATTAAGGAAACGGTTTCCCTTTCCCCCATGAGTGAAAATTTTGTTTCTCGGAGTTCAAGTTTGACGGCATTAAGTTCTCTCTGCAGTCTATAGATTTCCTCCTTCGCCACTCTTAACGTATGAACTGTGGGGTCTTCATGACTATTTTCTCCCACTGAGGAAGATGGTATTGCTAGTGGGCTTGTTGCCTCTTGAGAAGACACTGTCTCTTGAGAAGAAGACATTTGTCGGATTTTGACAACCATAGTAGTTAGTGGTCTTACTATATAAATAAATATATATATATAGCGGCCTCATGACCATTAAATGCAACTATTTGTATTGGTAGGTAGGACGTTTCCATCCATCCGTTAGGATGGTGAATAGACAGAACCACATTTAAGTATTATGTAATATAGTATTTTGCGAGAACGAGAGCAAGAGCTAGATAACGAGAAGGAGAGTGATAATATTGGTTCATATTAAGACCTAGTCATTAATACAAAACAAATAAGCCTACATTAGTACATTAATTCATTTGAAGCGATCCAACGTAAAAATACGTGACTTCAAATTGGCTACTTGCTTTTCGAGAAGTAGTATATCGTTGCGCTTTTCCTTGAGCAGCTTTTCCATTAAATCTCTTGTCCTCTCCATCATAGTTAATCTATAATGTTTGTTGTTGAGATCGTGTTTCGTTATGCGAAGCCTCCCTTAAGCTCTTCAATTTCTTCACGTGCATGTGTTAAGCGCAGCTTGTGTAGCGTCAAGAAGTTGATTTTCTCCGAAGGACGAGGTATGGTTGTCGCTCATGGGACTCGTTGCCTCATCAACCGACATGATGTTGGCCTGGAAATATAGCTTTATGCTAAATGGTTCCTTTGTTGTTGTTTCTCTGGTGTGATGCATGTGGATTAATGTGAATGTAACGTTATATAAGCATTGATATGGATGGGTGTGACGGTTGGGTTCTGCTTGTTCATTGGTTATCCGAGAAGTTGCGACTGCATTGGAAAAAGGAAGCGACTGTGAAGGCATGGTTGCATCAGTGAGAGAACTGGAATAAGAGCGAGAGCGAGAGTGAGAAGTTGAATTTTCTAGTTTTTTCTCCTTTTCTGATATTATACTTTTGGTATTTATTTTACAAGTTCCGTACAATGATGCTTAATATTTATTGGGTTTTTGGGCTGAATAGCCCTTTTCAACAAAGGCCCACTTCGAGATATTATACTTTTAAGCGAGCACGTGAGAAGAGAGCGAGAGATGGTGTGAGTGAAGAGAGCGAGAGCGAGAGCGAGAGGATGAAACCATAAACCTAATAATGATTTTTCTGATTGAAATTGATTTGTCATTTGTCTACATGCGTGAAACAAATAAAGAAAGATGTTGTACTTTACTGCATAAGATTACATATAAGGTTAAATAAATCTACGACACGGTGATAATGCTCCCATTGCCCTCAAACGTGATCCAATACTGCAACTTTATTTTGTAATTCCCACTTCTCCTCCTCACAGCAATCTACTTGTTTCCTGGTCTCCTCTACAAGCATTTCCAATACTTAATCCGATTATCTCTCACTTGCAAGTGATGCTACGTTTAGTATAACACTTGTCTGTTCTTGCGATGTCATTTCCTCTTATATTCTAACTCAGCCCTCGTTGGATCTTCGTACGGGCTTTCCTCTTGTGATTCCGACATTGCAGAAGTAACCTTGTAAGACATGGTGGTACAATTCGAGGAACGTTAGAACGAGAATGAAGAGAGGGAGAATATACCCGTTGAATATCAATCGTTACATTTATTGGACGCATGGGGAAGGCAAACAGTCACATCGAGCGTACAATCATTCATGAGGAAGTCAAACAGACACCGTCAGATTGCAGGCATTAATTAGGAATGATAGAGAGCGAGAGCGAGTTCAGTAATGAAAGCGAAAGCGATAATTAGAGCGACATAAATTGGTTCATCGTATATAATATTGGTTGTTTTTTATTCAGTTAACGTCCATTGTTACATAACTATACCACAACATGCGATCTTGATCGAACAATTAATCTATTTAATACCGACGGATAAGACGATGAAACTATGAAGATGATTACAGATTACCTATATTATCCCAAAATATATGATTCTACACATCAGTGGATTAGACGCTGCTATTTTCCTGTCCCAGCAAATTCGATTTCACATGACATGCAGCGATTTAGTAGCTTCATCTGTCGTTCTTGCAGATCGTCTAGACGGACTGTGAGCTCATCCGACAAAATCTGTAAGTACGTGTAAGTGCAGTCCAACTCGATACTTCGTCCGGGGGATTCCTCGACTTCAACAAGTATTCCAGAAAGTCTTGACCTGACGGACATCAACTCAGTTAGCATCTGCTCCTTCCATTTGCATGCATCGGTCGTCTGATCATTCACCTTTTCGACACTGGTGCATCTCACATAGGAACATAAGCAACGGTACGGTCTCACGTAAGGGGGCGAGAGGTTCTAGAAGCTTCTCGAACGAGACGTACTGTGGGAGTGAGTCATACACCAATATCTCTCTCAAGTGCAGATCGAACGTGCAAAGAATCCAATGGTCGCCAATGTTATGCACTCCGTACATGAAGTCAACCTCCCTCCATTCTGGTATGAAGGATTCGCTGAAATCGAGCACAACATTGTTAGTATCTCTCACCGATTCCCATGCCGACAACGTGGCCGAGATGAGCTTACCCTTAATATCTTTGTATTC